TTTCAGTCCGAAATAATTAACCCCTTATCCTTAGTATGTACCTTTATGTTTTTGCTCCTCCAACAAAAAGAAACAGTCACCTGCTGTGTACCCTAGGAATCCTCTGCAGAATTGTATGCTTCATTGGGATAACTTCTCATTCTTCTAAATCCCAGAGAATATAGGCCCAATTTAAGCTCTCATCATAGAATTACCTTATGATCTTAGTAACTAATTTAATGAATTTTTGCTGTATTTGCCTTCGGTGCAACTATATACTTGTTTAAATGTGGAGACCAAAATTGCACACAGTATTCCAGGCACAGTCTCACTAAAACTCTGAATAATTATCGCAAGAATTTTTTTATTCCAATATATTTCTACACTGAGGAACAGATTGGGAGGCAGATTTTGGAAGAGCGAATAAATAATAGGTTTGTTATCATGGGTGACTTCAACTTCCCTAATATCGACTGGAACCTCCTTAATGCAAATAGTTTGGATGGAGCAGATTTTGTCAGGTGTGTCCAGGAAGGATTCCTGACTCAATATGTAGATAGGCCAACTAGAGGGGAGGCCATATTGTATTTGGTGCTTGACAACGAACCAGGCCAGGTGTCAGATCTCACGGTGGGAGACCATTTCGGTGATAGTAATCCAACTCCCTGATTTTTACTATAATCATGGAGAAGGATAGGAGCAGCCAGAATGGGAAAGTATTTAATTAGGGGAGGGAGAATTACAATGCTAATAGGCAGGAATTCTGGAGCACAAACTGGGAACAGATGTTCTCAGGGAAATGCATGACAGAAATGTGGAGGTTGTTTAGGGAGTATGTGCTGCGAGTGCTGGATAGGTTTGTTACACTGAGGCAAGGAAGGGATGGTAAGGTGAAGAAGCCTTGGATGACAAGACATGTGGAATATCTAGTCAAGAGGAAGAAGGAAGCTTATTAAGGTTGAGGAAGCAAGGATCGGAAAGGGCTCTAGAGGGTTACAAGGTAGCCAGGAAGGGACTGAAGAATGGAATTAAGAGAGCTAGAAGGGGGTATGAAAAAGCCTTGGCAGGTAGGATTAAGGAAAACCCCAAGGTGTTCTATACTTATGTGAGAAACAAGAAGATGGCCAGAGTGAGGGTAGGGCCGATCAGGCATGATGGAGAGAACTTGTGCCTGGCATTGGAGGAGGTAGGGGAGGTCCTTAATGAATACTTCGCTTCAGTATTCACTAGTGAGAGGGACCTTGTCGTTTGTGAGGACAGCGTGAAACAGGCTGATATGCTCGAACAGGTTGATGTTAGGAAGGAGGATGTGCTAGAAATTTTGAAAAAACTTGAAGATAGATAAGTCCCCTGGGTCAGATAGGATATACCCAAGGTTTCTACAGGACGCGAGGGAACAGATTGCTGCGCCTTTGACAATGATCTTTGCATCCTCACTGTCCACTGGAGTAGTACTAGATGATTGGAGGGTGGCAAATGTTATTCCCCTTATCAAGAAAGGGAATAGGGATAACCCTGGGAATTACAAACCAGTCAGTCTTACTTCTGTGGTGGGCAAGTTATTGGAGAGGATTCTGAGAGACAGTATTTATGATTATTTGGAAAAGCATAGTTTGATGAGAGATAGCCAGCATGGCTTTGTGAGGGGCAGGTCATGCCTCACAAGCCTTATTGAATTCTTTGAGGATGTGACAAGCGCATTGATGAAGGTCGAGCAGTGGATGTGGTGTATATGGATTTTAACAAGGCATTTGATAAGGTTCCCCATGGTAGGCTCATTCAGAAAGTAAGGAGGCATGGGATTCATGGAAATTTAGCTGTCTGGATACAGAACGAGCTGTCCAATAGAAGACAGAGGGAGGTAGTAGATGGAAAGTATTCAGCCTGGAGCTCAGTGACCAGTGGTGTTCCGCAGGGATCTGTTCTGGTACCTCTGCTCTTCGTGATCTTTATAAATGACTTGAATGAGGAAGTGGAAGGGTGGTTTAGTAAGTTTGCTGATGACACCAAGGTTGGTGGAATTGTGCGTAGTGTGGAGGGCTGTAGTAGGTTGCAACGGGACATTGACAGGATGCAGAGCTGGTCAAAGAAGTGGAAGATGGAATTCAACCCAGAAAAGTGTGAAGTGATTCATTTTGGGAGGTCGAATTTGAATGCAGAATACAGGGTTAATGGCAGGATTCTTGGCAGTGTGAAGGGACAGAGGGATCTTGGGGTCCACATCCACAGATCCCTCAAAGTTGCCACCCAAGTTGATAGGGGTGTAAAGAAAGCGTATGGTGTGTTGGCTTTCATTGGCAGGGGAATTGAGTTTAAGAGCCGCCAGGTTATACTGCAGCTCTATAAAACCCTGGTTAGACCACACTTGGAATATTGTGTTCAGTTCTGGTCGCCTCATTGTAGGAAGGATGTCGAAGTTTTAGATCTAAAGCTTCCACATCCTTCCTTTAACAAGGCAACCAGAGGAGATTTACCAGGATGCTGCCTGGACTGGAGGGCAGGTCTTATGAGGAAAGGTTGAGGGAGCTAGGGCTTTTCTCATTGGAGCGAAGAAGGATGAGAGCTGACTTGATAGAGGTGTACAAGATGATGAGAAGCACAGATAGAGTGGATAGCCAGAGACTTTTTTTCAGGGTGGAAATGGCTATCATGCGGGTACAGGAGGAAGGTATAGGGGAGATGTCAGAGGTAGGTTCTTTACACAGAGTGGTGGGTGCGTTGAATGCACTGCCAGCAGTGGTAGTAGAGTCAGATTAATTAGGGACATTTTAGCGACTCTTGGATAGACACATGGATGATCGTAAAATGAAGGGTATGCCAAGTTAGTTTGATCTTAGAGTAGGATAATGGGTCGGCACAATATTGTGGGCCGAAGGGCCTGTACTGTGCTGTACTGTTCTATGTTCTATATTCTACTCCCTTTGCAATAAGTGTTATGCTATTTGTCTTCCTAATTGTTTGCTGTACCTGCACTGTAACTTTAAATTCTTTGTCCTAATACACCCATGTCTTAACTGAATATCAGTATTTAAAGTTTCATTCTGCTTTTCTTTTCTTAAAACCAAAGTCTCACAACCAACCTTAGATAACTCCACATTATAACACATGTGCCATTTTGTTGCCCACTGACTCAGTCTGTCTTTGTCTCTTTACAGCAACTTTTGTCCTTCTTTCAGCATACCTTCCTACCTAGCTTTGTATTGCCAGCAAATAATGCGACTATTTCTATTTTTAGCTAAGTTAATATATAGTAAGTAAATGAGCCCAGCCCTGATCTTTGTGACATTTCCTGTAATCACAGTCCATAAGCTTGAGGAAACTCCATTTTTTAATTCATTCATAGGATGTGTGTGCTGCTGGATACAACAGCATTCACTGCCTGTCTTTAGTTTCCCTTGAGAACGTTGTGGCCTTCTTAAATCATTGCAGTCCATTTAGTGCGGGTAGACCACAGCACTGTTATGGAGGGAATTCCAAAATCTTGACCCAGCGATATTGAAGAAACGGCAATATATTTCCAAATCAGGATGGTGTGTGGCTTGGAGGGAAATTTGCAGTGGTGGTGTTTCCATGCATCTGCTGTCTTTGTCCTTCTAGTTGGTAGTGCTTGTAGTTTTGGAAGATGCTGCCTAAGAAGCCTTGGAGAATTTCTGCAGTGCCTCTTGTAGATAGTACACACTTCTGCTACTGGGCATCAGTGGTGGAGGGAGTGGATGTGGTGTCAATGAAGTCAGGTGCTTTGTCCAGGATAGTGTCAAGCTTCTTGAGTGTTGTTAGGGCTATGTTGATCCGGCTTGCTTCCTATCCATTATGCTGATGTATTCTTCCCAACTCTATAAACCTTTACCTGCAATCAAATTTTGTGTGACATCTTATCAGAAACCTTTTGAAAATCCATATTTCATCCAGTGGGTTCCCTTTATCTTCCCTCCTGGTTACATCCTCTCATAAACCTGTCAAACAGAATTTTCCTCACATAAAACCATGTTCACTTTGTTTGATCATACTTTACTTTCTCAGCACATTCCTTAATAATAATTGCTAACAATTTCCCACAACATTATCTGAGGAGTCTTTAAAATCATGAGCATCCATTGTGGAGGATTATGGCTCTGATGCAACAGATATTTTCTTCCTTGAACAATCCTGGATCTCTGAACCAGGCAATTTCTTCTTGACCATGTATATTGTCAAAGGATTATTGGTTATGGCACTTCTGAGATGACTTCCATGGAGCTGCCCTATGCAGCCCATTTTCAATCTGCAAGCAAATCCATGGTGAAAAATGTTGACTCTGTACTTCAGTTTCTGGACTAGTTTGAATGCTTCCACTCCAACTCCTGTGGTCATTTTACTGGTGAATGCAATATGTTCACTTCACTAGTTATGTGACCTAAAGATTGCTACCTACTAAGCATACTCTGTAACTGACATTCTTGATTCTACCTTGAAAAATGTAGAATTGAAATGTTCCTCTTGGAATTATGTCCTCACCATTTACCATCATTACTCTGTGTTGAACACATTGTGATCTTCTATTTTCTTAAAGGAAAAGGCGAGTATACCAAAAACGTTCCTCCTCCATTGAGTTTACTGTGCTTCAGTACAGGTTATAGCATTGTAGTCTTTATTGTTAGTTGTAAATGCAGCTCTGAACTCAGGTAGATAACAAGTGACAATTAGGAAAAAGAACTGTTCTTAACTGGCACTGATGCTATCACTTTTTCAGCTTTTAGTACAAACTAGTGAACAATAAGTTAGTGCTCACTTGTTGCCACCATGATGTGGATTCTTGAGTTAAAATCATTGCCAGTATGGTATGTTAGATCATGTTACATCATACTAGGAACACTGGATTCTAGTTAAGACAAATGTGAAGTTTATTAACAACAATAACTATCTACACTGTTTTAAGATCTCAGACTTATGCATATCTTGGGTTCTATGCTTACTGATTTTGTGACTATATTTCATGACTGTAAAGCTACACGTAATTGATTGACTGCCTACGCACTGTACTGATTCCATTGCACTGTGACTACTGAAGGTGAGGCGAGAACCTTTATACTAGAACATCATGTGTCATGATATTACCTAATTGTCTTAATGCTACATTGCCTTTCTGGGATCTGTGCAATAATACAACATATTCCTCTTATAAGTCTATTAGAATGTTACTAAATTGTTTGAAACAGATGAATTTGTAAATAACTGTGGTGATTAGCAAAGATATTCACGAGTAAACCAACAAAATAACATGGATTGCATAGGATTTACAGCACAGAAACAAAGTCATTTGGCCCAAACAGCCCAGTTATACTTAAGCCTCCTCCCATCGCTCCTCACATAAATTTATCATTGTGTAACCTCTTTTTCCCTTATCCCTCATATTGCACTTTGGTTTGTGTTGAGTTTATCAATACTGTTTGCTTCAGTCACTCCTTCTGATGGCAAGTTCCACATTCTCACTATTCTTTCTGTAAATAAATTTCTTCTGAATTCCTCTTGGAATTCTTTGTGACTATATTATAAAGATTCTACCCTCTTCCCCACATTTAGAAATGTTGAGCAGAATCTTCCAGTCCCTGGAATTGGCGAGAGGAGTGGCAAGAAAGGGAAATAATTGGGCCTATTGGCTCTGGAGAAATACTCATCCCCTTCTTGCCAGTTCAACAAGGTCTACTGGGGACTTTATCACTTGCCTCCAATTAACTCCAGTAAGTAGTCAATGAATGGCAAGTTAAGGTCATTTCTCCCAACTGTCCTGACTTACCTGCAAGCGAAGAAAATGGTTAATTTTCCAAATGGAAAATCTGAGCAGCCAGCCTGCCTGATTATAGGGGATGACTTCAAGTACCTCAGTCTGATACCCACCCTGCAATTAGAAGATGAGAAACAATTACCATCTCAATGATGGATCCCAGAAGTAGGCCTGAGACCCTGAAGCTACTGGTTTTTAATTGGCAGTGCCAGTGCCAAAGCCTGTGATCTGCCAAGAAGCTCGCCTAAGCTCTGCCTGTCGGCTCTTAATGAGCTGATTGGCACGCAATAGGTTAAATTATCATTGGTGTGTTATTTTCAGCCTAATATACTCGCCCCCACATTTTGTCTAAAAATTAGGAAGTCTATAAATCTGAATGGTGATAATTTGGGAAAGGGTCCTTGTACACCAGCCGCTGAAAGTAGCATGCAGATCCAGCAGGCAATGAAGAAGGCCAATGATATATTGGCCCTTATAATGAGAGTGTTCAGGTACAGGACCTGGGATGTCTTGCTGCAATTGTACAAGACCTTGGTGAGAGTATGCCTGAATATTTGTGCAGTTTTAGTCTCCTTATCTAAGGAAGGATGTTCTGGCTATGGAGGGAGTTAAGCAAAGGTTTACTAGACTGACGCCTGAGATGGCAGGCGATATATAAAGACAGATTGGATTCGTTAGGACTATATTCACTGGAGTCTAGAAGAATGATGGGACAGCTAAATGAACTACAAAATTCTAGCAGGACTTTGTGTCTCACAAACTTGATTGAGATTTTTGAGGAAGTTACCAAAAAGATTGATGAGGCCAGAGCAGTAGATGTTTACTTGGACTTTAGTAAAGTCTTTGACAAAGGTCCGCATGGTAGACTATTTAGTAAAATTAGGTCACATGGGATTCAGATGTATACTTGTAAATTGGATACATAATTGGCTTAATGGTAGGAAACAGAGAGTGGTGGTAGAGGGTTGCTTTTTGGACTGGAGGCCTGTCACCTGCTGTGTTCCTCAGGGATCGGTTCTGAGCCCTTTTGTTTGTCCTTTACATAAATAATTTGGATGAAAATATAGAAGGCATGGTTAGTAAGTTTGTGGAAGACATCAAAGTTGGAGGCATAGTAAATATTGAAGGTTTTCTAAAATTACAAAGGGATCTTGATCAAATGGGTCAGTGGGCTGAAAAGTGGCAGATGGAGTTCACTCTGGACAAATGTGTGGTACTGTATTTTGGTACAACAAACAGGGGCAGGACTTGTACAATTAATGGTAAAGTCTTGGCTAATGTTGCAGAACACAGGGATGTAGAGGTTCAGGTACATAATTCTTTGAAGTTCACGTCTCATATAGACAAAGTGGTTAAAAAGGCATTTAGCATGCTTGCCTTCATTGCTCAATCCTTTGAGTATAGGAGTTAGGAAGTTTTGTTAAGGTTATACGGCACACTGGTGAGGCCTGTTCTGGAGCACTGTGTCCAGTTCTGGTCACTCAGTTATAGAGAGGATATTATTAAGCTGGAGAGGGTTCAGAAGAGATTTACCAGAATGTTGCCGGGTATGGAAGGTTTGAGTTATAAAAAAAGGTTGGATAGGCTTGGATTGAGAGGTGACCTTACAGAGGTTTGTAAAATCATAAGGGATATAGATAGAGTTAATTGTAGATGTCTTTTCCCTACGATGGGGGATATCAAGATTAGGGGGCACATTTTTAAGGTGAGAGGAGAGAGATTTAAAAAAGACATTGGGGCAGTTTTTTACACTGGATGGTTCGCATGTGTAATAAACTTCCTGAGGAAGTGGTGGATGTGGGCACAGTTACGTTTAAAAGACACTTAGACAAGTACATGAATAGGAAAGGTTTGGAGGGATATGGGCCAGGAGCAGGAGGGTTGAACTAGTTTAGTTTGGGATTATGTTCAACATGGATTGGTTGGACTAAAGGGTCTGTTTCTGTACTGTATGACTCTGTGACTAGACAAGGTAAATCAGAAAGGCTGCTCCCAATGACCAGGGAGTCCAGAACCAGGGGATCACAATCTAAGAATATGGGGGAGGCCATTTAGGACTGAGGTGAGGGAAAATTTCTTCACCCAGAGAGTGGTGAGCCTGTGGAATTCTCTGCCACAGAAATTGGTTGAAGCCAAAACGTTGAAAGTTTTCAAGAAAAGGTTAAATATAGTTCTTCACTTCAGACAGATCAAAGGGTAGAGGAAGAAAGTAAGAACAGGGTACTGAGTTTGATGGTCAGTCATAATCATAATGAATGATGGAACAGGCTCAGCGGGTTGAATGGCCTACTCCTTGCTTCGATTTTGTATGTTTCTAAAATCAAAGCCTTTCCTAATTATAAAGCCCTCTCTCAGGTCACTCCTCAACCTCTCTTCAGGGAAAGGAAATGTAGCCTATTTATATTTCTATCCATCACAATTCAAATACTTTCACTGATTCATCTAGAAAGCAAGCAGAATAAAACCTTAATACTTTGAGAGACCTTATTTGACATAGCCAGAATATTTACACCTCTGACTAATATTATTTTAATTTAGAGAAAAAGTGTTAAAACAAAAATCTGATTTGCAACCTCAAGGAGTTAATATCCTGAGCTCCCTTAAAAAAGATAAGGCTTTGTTAAGAGCTTCACTTTAACCCCTTGTTCTTCTGAAGTAGAAGTTGTGTGACATACTATGACTGTTGCCATTGTCTTACCACATGTATATTAACAATTTTATGAAACAAATAAGTTTTTATCTGTTCTAAATATTTTGTTACACCCAGATTTATTCTTTTTTCAGCATTTTACCCCTTTTTCTTGATTCAAGATATGGTGACTGGAAAATCTGACCGGTTTTGGGGCAAGTGAGTGAAAAGGCAAATATCTCTAATTTTAAGCACATTCAAAAATCATTATCTAATTTGTCTCTATTATTAACTAACCTGTGGTTTAATTTTCTAGATATACATTTAAAGTTATTGGAGGTGGACCATACTCAACAAGTAACATCAGAATGTTCAATGAAGATGAGATTTTGATGTATAATTCATTGAATCACAGGTATAACATAAGTGATATGCACAGGAGTTCCTAACATATTAATATTGAATGTCTTAGCATGTATTGCGTACATTGTGTAGATCACGTTATATGATAGTGTAACTAAAAAGACCTCTTCAATCACTCTCTTACCATTTGAGGATCTTAAGAAATAACAGCAAGGCTAAGCGATTCTCCATCTTGAGCCTGCTGTGTCATTCAATATGATTATGATTGATCTGATTTTGGCATTAGTTCCACTACGCTGCATGCCAGCCCATAATCCTTAACTTTGTTGACTATGAGTGAAGCAGGCATGGCTACCAAAAAGCCACACTGGAGGTGCTTCCGCCTTACAATTGTCCAACAGATTCCAGCTCTGTGCATCTTGTGTAGACCAAAGCAGGGACCAATACACTGGTGCAGCAGCCATCAAGTGAGGATAGAATGAAAGGTATGTAATTGTAGTGGGACAGTACAGTTTAAATGAGATTAGAATTACACAAAAGTCAGGCATGCTCTAATGTCCTCTAATCCTTGAGTACTGCCTCAAAAAATGGCCAGAATATATTCTACTCAATTCTATTCTGAGCAAAGAAGAATTATCAGTGTTGTGGATAAGTTGCTGATTTATGATGATAGATTTGATCAGAAGGCTGTGGAGGCTAGGGTTATTGTGTCTTTACAATAGAGATATATAGGTTCTTGATTAATAAGGATATCAAAGGTTGCAGGGAGAAGGCCAAGGCTCTCAAAATTATTACAAGAGGTGATTTCCAATTGTATCATTTGTGCAGGTGTATTGGGAACCACTGATGGTATCTTCACTTCTGTCTAGACCATGGGAACATCTTGAAATGGATCTTTTTGTGCTCAGAAGTATGATATTTTTGACAGTGGTTGACTATTATTCAAAGTGGATAGTGGTAAGGCATCTACATGACCATTGTTTTGAAGCTGTCATTACTTCATTCCAAGAAATGCACATTGGATCCTAGATTTCGATTGAAAAGAGAGTCAAGGGTTATAGGGAGACAGACAGAAAAGTTGACTTGAGATCATAATCAGATCAGCCATGACGTAATTTAGTGGTGCAGTAAGGTCAAAGTACCAAGTGCCTTTACTTATATTCTTGCATTTCAAAAATATGATGAACTGAGCTTTGAATATGTTGAATAATCCAGTCTCCATTGTATACTGAGGGAGAGAATTCCAAAGCCTAAGGACCGTTTCAGGAAATAAATGTCTCCTCATCTCTGTCATGAGTGGGAGATGCCTATTTTAAAACAGTACTGCTTGTTCTGGATTTCTGTAGAAGGGGGGAGCATTATCTTAGAATCCACCCTGTCAACCCCATCAGAATCTTACATGTTTCAATAAGATTACTCTCATTCTTGTATCTTCCGTGCATTTAGGCAAAATCTGCAAAATCTTTCTTCATGAACAGATGACGTTAACCTAGGAATCAAGGAAGGGAAACTTATCTGAACTGCTTCCAGTGTCAATATATCCCCCGCCTTATGCAAGAAGACCAAAACAATATGCAGTATGTTTGGTCTCACTTATGCCTGTGACAATACTTTGCTAATTTTGTATTGCATCTCCCTTGCAATAAAGGTGATCATTCCATTTGCCTTACTAATTACATACAGTGCCAGCATTCTAACTTTCTGTGATTCACATACAAGGACACCTAGATCCCTCTGTATTGTAGAATACTGTAGTCCCTAACTTTATAAATAAAAGCATTCTTTTCTGTTCTTCCTGCCAAGGTAGACAAACTCATGTTTTCCAATATTATACTCCATCTGCCAAATATATGCTCACATACTTAACCCGTATATTCCCCTTAATAGACTGTTTAGGCAGAATTTTCCGAGCCCTTGAACAACATGGGCAATAGCAAAAAAGTTGGGAAAATATGGCATGAATGAAAAGAAAATGTCGCTCATCTAATTATGTATCACGCCTCTATAGAAGTACTCACCACTGCCATATTGTTGCAAAGTTTGGTAGAGTATTTGTGGATTGGAAGACAGGACGTTAGAACTTGATGTTTGTAAAATGGTAGGAGGGAACAGTGCGTGGTCCCTTTAAAAGATGATATGTTTTTCTAGGCTTGGAGAGAAAAAATGTCTGTAAGAAACAGTAGGTGCACAGCGAGTTCGTGAAATTGAAACATTTCTGTCATGGAGCTGTGTGGTTAGCAACCCAGGCAGTAGTTTGTTTGGCCAACCAGGTTGAATATCAGCCAATTAATTTAAACCAGGCACTTGGAGCCTAAAAAACTAATTAAATTTAAATCTGATGGTTTTGACAACCTAGGACCAAACCAGTTGTAAGAAATTGATAGGTCATCAAGGGTACAAAAGAAGAGGATATTTGAAAATTGGTGTCAGAGTAACTGCCATCTAATAGTGTTAACAACCCATCAGCTCTAAAGAAAAAAATCACTGGCTCTCACAGAATTCTGTAAGCTCTCAGAATAAACATCATCTAACTAAAGGTATAGCAGCAATCTTAGCTAATATTCTTGACGCAAGAATTTGATGGAAAGAGGTGTTCCTGATGCAAGAATTCAACAGACAAAGGATCAGTGGAGAAGGCACAGAGCATAGCGGAAGATTGCAATTCCTGATTGCAATTTTGCGAGATTAAGTTTTAATTTTTTTTATTTTGTTTTTTTTATGTTTGCAAGGAGCATTAGATTGTACTCACATTACATTGAGAGTACCATATCATAATGCAATGTACAAGTCATCTGTGAGCATCGGTAACACATCCTAGAAGTCATCACCAGGTACCCCAGAAGCTGCCATGATGTACATATCGTTGAGAACTCTCATTTCTGCTTAATTTCAAGGGATAGATGCCTAACAGGGGGATGGTTACTAGGCGAAAAGGGCTACCGTCTGCAACCGTGGCTGATAATTCTGCTACACAATCCCTTGACTAAGGCCAAGCATAGATACAGTGCAGCCCATGCTGAAGCAGATGATAATTCTCATGAAAGTGAGGTACAGATGCTTACCAGCCCAAGTGTGCCACGCAATCCTGCATGCTGCACCCTCCATAACTGTAGCAGGCGTAGAGGGGATATGATGGACATTGAAGAGATGAGATAGCAGCAGCAGTCTTCCAAGGAGGAAGATATGGTCAATCAGCAGGAGGATCGATACTTCAGTGTGATAGCATTGAGTAAAACATACCAGGCGGATTTAACCGACACCAGGTTCCAGTAGATGTGAGTTGGGTGAAGTGACCATTTATTGATTGTAAATTTATTGTTGCATAAAAGGAAAGCAGCCCATTTGTTCCAAAGGCAAATGCAGCTTTTTTCTTGTTTGTTTCTTCTTCACTGTTGCTGTTGTTCATTGAAAGTTAATATTTTCAACTATTTCAAGGCTTTCCAACACCAGGTTCCCACAACAAGCAATGATGTAACGTTATGCTACGCTGCGAGTTAGGAAAGAAGAGCATTCCCTTAAATAGATTGTAACGAAGCATGGCACTGAGGATGTGTAGACAATGTAGCTTGATTCTTATTGCTGCAGTTACAATGACCATTGATCAGACAATGTAATGATGTAAAATAACAATGCATTTACAGATGTGAGACTTTATTTGCGATGAAGAATTACCTGTGCCACATATGTCTCCTCATAAGCTTTTCTTTTTGTTTCTCTCTTACTATATGTACTGTGAAGGGCTGTTAGTGGCTCGCTTCAAATAACCTGTTTCACGGATGGACTTTAAATATTGTTGTAAAGTGGAGGTTGGCCACCCCCTACCTGATAACTAAAACCAAAACACCCAGAGAGGCTCGCCTCACCTGACAATCTGTTAAAAGAAGTGTGAAAAGTGGTTTAACCAGCCTCTCACCACCTACCCCATTGTGTTATAAAGGAGTGGTTAACTGAAATGAAATCCTTTCACTCACTCTATAATCAATAAGTAACAATTTGTTTATCTAACTTTAACAGTGAACAAATGAACAGAACTACTAAAAAACCGAACAATTCCCCCTTAACTACTAACTATTTCTGAATAAAACAAAACTCTAATGGCATGCTGTTCCAATAAATATGAGTCCTACTTATATAAACATGGAGGGGCTCAGTTATTTTGGCAAGTCTGTTGATGGGGATGCAGAACTGACCTTGTCACAGGGAAATGAAATGAAATGGTATGATCTGGCACAAATTGCATTGGTAACAGCTTTAAAAAAATTCAGTCTGATGATTCTCAACGTCAAGAATAATAAGAGTTTGATTTAGCACATAAGGTTTGAAAGGCAATATGAGAATCTGGCTGGTGAGAGGAAAGAGGCCTATTTCCTTGTTTTTACAGGCGTGTTACAGTCTGCAAAAAGTCCAGGAGCTGCTTACCTCACAAGTTATAGGATAAAATATCTACACAATTATCTGAAATGAAATGCTGTCTTTCTTGGATGAGGTGAGGGGTAGGGAGAGAAACTCTCATTTTTCTTACCGAACTTAAAATATCTTACTAGATGTGTGCCAAACAGCTTGTGGAGCACATCTGAATCTGGTCTATGATGTAAAAGGTCCATGTAGAAGCAACCTATTGCACTCTTTGTCAGAGGTCTCCATATTCTAATGTATGGATGATAATTTTTAAATATTATTAGTGTGTGCTGTGATTACTGAATGATCACATTTCTGAGGAGTTGCTTTGTTGTTGATATTGCCCACAGAGATTCATTGGAACTGATACCAAAGAATTCAGGTATAGAAGCATTGTCATCTGTGTCTGCTGCAATTTGAATATCCATAGAAATTGAGGAGGCACACATTCATCTGGAAGCCCAGGACCAGCATAAACCCCCAACAGATTTGGAGGAGCATCCTAATATGGAGTTTGCAGCAAAAGATGGACTCATGAAGTGGCAAGAGTATAGTCATTCCTCTTTCATGCAATGTCCTCCAGATGAGAGAGTTGCAGTGCTATGTACTCTGTGCAGAATAGGGGTCAGAACACATGTCATGATGTATGTATGGCACTGGGGCCAAGGAAAGCCATAAGATGTGTTTTCAAAGATAGTAGGAACTGCAGATGCTGGAGAATCTGAGATAACAAGGTGTAGAGCTGGACGAACACAGCAGGCCAAGCAGCATCACAGGAGCAGGAAGGCTGACGTTTCGGGCCTAGATGAATGATTTTTTCTGATGAAGGGTCTAGGCCCGAAATGTCAGCCTTCCTGCTCTTGTGATGCTGCTTGGCCAGATGTATTTTCAACACTGGTTTCCCATGCTTGCTCAGGCCTGATGTTCATTGCAGTATAGTATAAATGAAGGGAGCCATGCAATCCTTACATGCTTTGCTCTGAACAACTGAATCAGCCAATGAGAGCATGTGATTGATGAAGATGACCTGTGAGAGCCATGGTATAAAGTAAGGAAAAGAGAATGTTTGTCAGAAGGAACATTCTACATTGCAGCATCATTAACTGCAGCAACCAAGACAGGATTTGTTTGCCAACTGCTTCCAGTGTAACTGAGTTGGGTGAAGTTATTCACTTTTTATCAAAAATTCTTTATCCATGCTAATAAATCACCTCCAACACCATGAGCTCTTATCTTACGTAGTAATGAGCAATTTGCCTTTTAGAAATTCAGAATAAGCTACATCTATTAGTTTCCCTTAATCCAGCTAGCTTGTTACATCCTTAAAACAATAATCACTATGTCAAACAGATTTCCCTTCACAAAACTATATTAACTCTACTTTGATTGCATTATGATTTTCTAACTGCTGTGCCACTACTTCCTTAATTATGGATTCCAACCAATATGGATGTTCGACTAACTGGTCCAGTTTCCTACTTTTGGTGTGCTTCTTTCCTTAAAGGCGAAGTGTTACATTTGCCATTTTTCAATCTGCTAGGAGTTTACAAGAATCTAGGGAATTTTGGAAAATTACAACCAAGGCATCTATTATCTTTGCAGCCATTCCCATTTAAGACACTACGATGCAGGGGATTGTCAGTTTTGAGTCCTATTAGGTTTCTGAATGTATTTTTTTTCTAGCAATTGTGATCATTTTAATAACTTCACTTTTGCTAGTTGATTTTTGGGAGTATTGTCCTGAAAGCCTAGAAAAATGTTATTTTGCATGCTGTAAATGGAAGACATCTAAATGATAATAACTTATGATTTTTGACAGTTTTAAATATGCAGCAATCTGGGACATTGTAGATGTCAAATCAAGTGAAATAATGTCCACAGAAGATGGTTATCGTATTTTCAGTGGTGATAACTTTGGAATTCGGTAAGTACAGACACCCTAGACTGACCATCATCAGCTGATATAGATCAACATCTTCCAGTATTTTACAGATATGCCATTTTGTTCTTCCATATAGCTCAAAATAGTCAGTTTAACTAAATCCCATTCATGTTCGATGTATGGTTTAGCTCAGTTGGCTGGATAGCTGGTTTATGATGCAGAGTGATGCCATTAGCATGGGTTCAATTCTCACACAAGCTGAGGTTGCCATGAAAAACACTCTTCCTCAACCTCTCCTCTTACCTGAGGCATGGCGATCAAGTTAAAATGCCATCAATCATCTGTCTCTACTGTAAAAGCAGCCTTCTAACCTGATAGGACTGTGGCAATTTTACCTTTATTCAGGTTAAATGGTGTTTCAAATCAAATTATTGTATTCATGCAATGATAATTAAAATGAAACCAACTGACTAGAAAGTGAATTTCCCGGAAGATATTCTTGTTGTAAAATGTCCCAGATATTGTTCAGTTTTTAGTGATATTCTCATGTCCAGCAGGAGGAAATGGCCAGGAAACCCCAGAACTTTGCCTAGCTTTGTTGTCTGGCATATTTTAAATGTCCAGAATATGTAGGCACTGCTAAATATACTGGAGTTTGTGAATTGAAAAAAAAATTAAGATAATAAGTAGAAAATAAGTATTCCAGTCAGTTCTGAATCAATTCTGTTTTTCCGTTTCTTCTGTTAGCATTTAAAATCTCATGAATTTTAGCATAAAAATCTCATGAATTGTTTCAGTTTTTTCTGACTCAGCATGATAAGTGGTATCAATTGGGTTTGGAAGGAGACAAACAATCCATTGAGCAATCTGGCCAGGTCACGCTGCATGTGAAATATTATTTATCTATTAGCTAAACATGTGCAGCTGCAGAGATATCTGGACCTTTGCTTTGTTAGACCAGACCCAAAACCTCTTCACATTTATCAAGGAGACAACCTAGACTTTAATTTTTGGCGTATTGAAAGGCAAGTGTAAGCTGTTGTGTTCCAACTGTAAGTTGATTTGTTATACTACTCCACTTTAAGCAAAACACACTTTATTCTTACCCTGCAGTTAAAATATTTTTAAAAATTGGTATAAATTTAATTCTTTTGGAAAACTTAATCAGAATAATAGATTATTTAACTACTAAGCAGCAACTGTTCCAATATAGTAACATCCCATAAACACGCCCTAGGCAAAGGCAAAGCCAGGAAAACAGATGGTCTCACATGTGACTCTGGCAGCAGATAGAGAGCCCAAGCTTTTAGTTGTAGCCAAGAGAGATGTATAGCTACTTCTGCAATCAACTTCAAAACCCTAGCAACTGTTGAAAGCTAAGTTAAAACCCTGGTTCTGTGGGAACCTGAATCTTCCTCCTATTGTTCTAACTTTAAAAATAACACAAGGCCCTGTTTATTGGCTTGGAAGAGACAGTTTGGCACCTATGGCTCAAAACCTCTCCAAAGTAAAGAAAAATACACCTCCCAAAGCCATAGTATCGTCACAGCTTTGATATATGATAAGGGCTGATCAAAACGTCTTGCCTCAAAGGGAATTACTTCAGCAGATCACTGACTTCACAGGATGCAAGTTACTATTACATGCATAATAGTGCAAAACTACCTTGCTTACTTTCAGTGGCATTGCATGAAAGAAGACATGCTATGGTGGTCAAAAGCTTGCAACGTTTGATAGAATTCATATCATATAACACCAACCATTTTTCCAAGTTTTGGATTGTCATTTGGAGAATTGTCTTGAAGTTTTACTTCAGCAGAGGACAGATGCAGTGACATTTTCAATCCTTCTTTCACTCCCATACACAGCAATGGCTGCGTTATCAACAGTGAGCAGGCTTGAAGAAGCTCAGCTGATAATATAAGAGAGGGTGGCGGGAATTTGAAGTAGTAGATTTAAGGCAAGGGACTAAACGCTGGGAAAATACAGCTGATGTAAATATTTTAATGCATTAATGAACTTTTCTGTTATTTATCCTGAGGTGGATTTGCCAGAAGAACTCACCTTGCAGTGATGTACCAGCAGATGGGCTAAAAGGTCCAGAATATTTTTTGGCTATTGAGGTGTCTAATAGGTAAGAGCATAAGACTTTTTAAAAAAAATTACACAGAGCTCATCAAATTGTCTCTTTTAGATAGATTTTAATTACTCCTATTATAGAGTTGAAATATTTCATAATGAACCAGCAACCAATGTTATACCTTGCTTAATTTTCTCTTTCATTGACTTTCATGGAACATAACTTGTAAAGCAGGGAGCTGATTCACTATGACCCATTTTAAACAACTAGAGAAGACCAATTTCGTCATCGAATATTCATTAATATCTAATCTGTACTTGGACCCATATACTTCAGCTTCCAGTTATCACATTAAATATTCTATTTGGCATTTCTTAATAGATTCATAGAGTTGTACAGTATGGAAATAATCCCTTCTACCCAACTCACCCATGCCGACCCAGTTTCCTAAACTGAGCTAGTCCCATTTGCTTGCTTTTAGCCCAGATTCCTCTAAACCTTTCTTATCCATGTATCTGTCCAAATGTCTTTTAAATGTTGTAATTGTACTCGACTCTATCACTTCCTCTGGCGGCTTGTTCCATGTATGTACCACCCTCTATGTGAAAACGTTGCCCCTCAGGTCCCTTTTAAATCTTTTCCCTTTCACCTTAAATCTGTGCCTTCCAGTTTTAGATTTCCCTACCCTGAGGAAAAGACCTTGGCTATTCACTTTATCTGTGCCCTCATGATTTTATGAACTTCTATAAGGTCATCCCTCAGCCTCCTATACCCCAGGGGAAAAAATTAAACCTCTCAAGCCTCTCCTTATAATATAAACCTTCCGGTCTTGGTAACATCCTTGTAAGTCTTTTCTGCACCATTTCCAGTTTATAATATTCTTCATGTAGCAGGGCAGTTAGAATTATATGCAGTACTCCAAATATGGCCTTACCAATGTCTTGTACAGCTGTAACATGACGTCCCAACATCTGTACTCAGTGCTATGTGCCAAACGCCTTCTCCACCACCCTGTCCATGTCTGATGCCACTTTTAAGGAACTATGTACTCATAGGTCTCTTTGTTTGATAGCACTCCCCAGAGCCCTACCATTAACTGTGTAAAGCCCAGTTTCTCTTACCAAAATGCAACGTCTTGCATTTATCTTCATTAAACTCTAGTTGTCATTCTTTGGCCACGGCTCAGTTGATCAAGATTCCGTTGTACTCTTAGACAACCACCTTCACTGTCCACCAATTTTGGTATCATCTGCAAAGTTAGTAACCGTGCCTTCAATCTTCTCATCCAAATCATTTACATCAATGATGAACAACAGTGGACACCAATCCTTGCAGCACACCGCTAGTCACAAGCCTCCAATCTGAACAATAACCCTGTACCACCACCTTCTGTTTCCTACTGTCAAGCCAATTTTGTATCCAATTGACTAGCTTTCCCTGGATCACATGTGATCTAACCTTACTAACCAGTCCACCATGCAATATCTTGTTGAAAGCCTTGCTGAAGTCCATGGAGCCAACATCTACCACACTGCCCTCATTTATCTTCGTGGTCACCTCTTCAAAAAATGCAATCATATTTGTGAGACATGATTACCCATGCACAAAACAATGCTGACTATCCCTAATTGGTCCTTGCCTTTCCAAATGCACGTAGATCCTGTCTCTCTGAATCACCTCCAACAACTTACCCACTGCTGATGCTAGGCTCACTGGTCTGCGGTTCCATGGCTTTTTCTTTCTGAAATATTGGCACAACATTAGCAGCCCTCCAATCTTCCGGCACCTCACCCATGGCTGTTGATGATACAAATATCTTTGCTTGGGGCCCTGTAATCTTGTCTGTTTCTTCTTTAAATTCCCATGATGTTCTTCAGTAAATGAACTGGAGATGCCTAGAGGTTACCTAATTTTCCAGTGAATCTAAGTTCAATTTTTTTGAAGAAAGCAGAGTTATCATTTGGAGACTGATGTGATGAAGAGTCACCGGACACTAAATGTTAATTCTGCTTTCTTCCCAATTCTTATCTACATGTGTTCTGTCTGCAAGAAGCAGGACAAATCTAGACTGTGGTGATTGTAATGAGGTCATAGATTAGGAGTTCCCTGTTTAGGGCTGTTAACCTGGTCCAATTAGGAAGCCCTGGATGACACATAAAAAGGGTGAGTGTCACAGATACTGACACTCTGGCACCTGACTCTGAATGAGGCAGTACTAAAGTCAAGGACTATTCATGTTTAAATAAAAGGTGACTTGGTGATGGAATACTGGCATCTGTGGAGTTATTTCAGGGGCGATGTGAGTAAAGCATGATCCTGAAGAGACTCGCTCACAATAGTCACCTTTGAGTTGGGGAATCATTTCTCAGATCATTTCTTTGTTTAGGAAGCTTGACTCGTTTGATCCTGCCATCGAGGACTGGGTCCAGAATGTGGAAAGAAGCACTATTTTCCAAATGACATTGTGGCAGATGAAAAATGAGTAATTCCTCTGATAGCCTGTGGAGCTGCAATTTTTTTGGTCATTAGGAGTCTAACTTTCCCTGAGGCATTAAATACTAAAACCTTTCAAGAATTGATGGACCTAGTTAAGAAATATTACAGCCCAAGCTTCCTCTAATTCTGCAATGCTATCGATTTTACTCAGCAATTGGAGAACCAGCAGAATCCGTATTATGACTTTTAACTAGGTTAAGACAGTTGGGCAAAAGCCTGTGACTTTTGTTTAACCCTTAATGAGTTGCTTAGAGACTATCTGGTTTGTGGGATTAATGATATAACTATGCAAAAATGCCTACAAGCTGAAGCCCAACTGGACTTCAAACAGGTGCTACAACTAGCTTTATCATTGGAAAATGCAGCAACTGGAGCAAATGGGTTGCAGGGTATTCTGATGGAAGTGGACACTCTCGCCTGTCGGACTAAGCTAGAGGAACCACTTGTTTGCAGGAAATTGCATGGCATCGCTCAGGACATATCCTGATCAGAGCGACTCTAGGTTGGCCCACAGCAAAACCTCAAAACAAAGCCAAACTTCAGCCAAATGGTTAAAATTTCTTCAGGATCCTGGCCGACAAGCTATTGTAGTTGTTGCCGTTATGTAGACCTGAGACAGCTAAAGAGTCCTACAAGATGTAAATTGAGTAAGACAGCTCCTAGGCCAGTGTCCAGGAGAGTTCATGCCCTGGAAAGTCCACCCACAGCTGATTTGGAACAGTGAAAATGCTTAGCAACATCAAAATCAGAATCAAAATAAACATCTGGTTAAATGGTCATCTGGTTCTAATGGAGGTTAATACCTGTGAGGCCGTATCAGAGTTCACAGAACCAGTTTTTATCAAAATTCGCTGCGGACTCCAGCCCTTAACTTTGAGCAAGACCTCAGCTCGGCAGAGAAACTACACTGGGAAACCTTTACAGATTAAAGGTACAACTTTGGTTCCAGTCTCTGGCTACCAGTGGTTGTAGTAAAAGGCAGGGGTCCAAGCTTGATGGGGTAAAATTGGTTGCGAGAGATTCACCCAGATTGTCTCAATGTTTTTCAATTAGCAAATGGCTGCCTGCGTGAAGCCCTAATTAAAAACCCAAAAGTCTTCCAGGAAGGTCTAGGGACGATCAGAGGAAACAAACCACCTTGCATGTTGACCAGGAAGCAATTTTGCGATGCTGCATAGCCCGCCCAGTGCCATCTGCGTTACAGGCCAAAGTAGAGGCAGATATCAGATAGCTGGAGAGTGAAGGAATCATTAGACCAGTCCAGTTTGCAGAATGGGCAGCAGGGGCTGGTGAGAGCAGAGGGCGGTGACGACTCTGATTAGCAATTGGGGTGAAGATTTGCATCGGTGCAGTCACCACTACCAAACAGGGGTTTGTGGAGGGAATGTTGTCAAGGGACAAGAACAAAATTAAAGAGCAGGGCCTCAAAGGTTATAATCTCCGGATTACTGCCTGAGCCACGTGCAAATTGCCTTAGGGACACGAGAATAAGGGAAGTGAACACATGGCTAAAAGAGTGGTGTGGGAAAGAGGGGTTCCTTTTTACAGGGCACTGGCATCAGTATTGGAAGAGGAGAGATCTGTACTGCTGGGACGGTTTCCACCTGAACTGAGCTGGGACCAATGTTCTAGCGAAAAGGTTAAAAAGGCTGGTCAACAGGATTTTAAAGTAGAAAGTTGTGGGGGGGTAAAACTTCCCCCAGTGGGGAACAAAACAACAGGTTAACATCTGTAGGGCTAGATTCAACTGCATGGAAAAATATGAAGAAAAATGACGTGAAAGGAGAAATCAGGAGAGATTATTAAAGTCTCCAGCACAGACACAAATAGGACAGAGTTGGAAAGGTTTAGGAATCAAACTTCAAGCACACTGCATAAATGAATGGCAGTGAGAAGAGGGTCGGTTAATACAGGACTTGAAGGTGTTATATCTGAATGCATGCAGTATAAGAAAGAAGGTAAATGAGCTTGTGGCGCAGATTGAAATTGGCGCATTTGATATGGTGGGCATCGCGGAGGGCTGCAAGGGAATCAGGATTGGGAGGTGAATATCCAAGGATATACATCTTATCGCAAAGATAGGCAGGTGGGCAGAGGGGATGGGGTTACCTTATTAGTAAGAAATGAAGTTAAATCAATAGTAAGAAATGAAGTAGGGCCAGATGGTGTAGAATCTGTGTGGGTAGAGTTGAGGAACGCAAAGGTGAAAAAAACCATAGTTGGAACTATGTACAGGCCTCCAAACAGTGGTCAGGAGCTGGGGCGCAAGGTACACCAGGAGATAGAAAAGGTATGTAAAAAAGGCAAAGTCACAGTGATCATGGGGGATTTCAATAAGCAGGTGAACTGGGAAAATCAGGTTGGTAGTGGATTGCAAGGAAAGGAATTTGTGGAATGTCTATGTGATGGCTCCTTGGAGCAGCTTGTGGTGGAGCCCGCTAGGGAACAGGCAATACTGGATTTAGAGACAACAAGGTGCAGGGCTGGATGAACACAGCAGGCCAAGCAGCATCATAGGAGCAGAGAGGCTGACGTTTCGGGCCGAGACCCTTCATCAG